GCTTTGGGAGATGTGGGGTTTCAAACCCCAGCTGGATGTGTTTATTTAGGAGTTCAGGGCTGGGAAAGGGGGAAACTAGTGTTTTGCTGTGATTATGATGGTCAGGCAAGGCATCCTGACAACGATGGTGGATGAGATCTGGCTAGATGAAGAGGGACCCAAAGTACTAAGGCGTCTAGGACACTGAAGACTTGTTTGGGAGGACAGGGTGGGTGGGGGTAGAGAGGACACTGGGAAGGGATCTGTGAATAGACCCATTGAACTAGAGTAGAAGTGGGAGGTGAGAGACAGACCAGCGGGCTTGGATGGGCCTCCAGCTTACCATTTGTTGTCCTGCCTCAACTAGAGGGAGCTGGGGACTGAGTACGGGGGTTGGGCAGCTGCACTGTCAACTTTCTGAGTCATATCCTAGACCAGGCTTGGCCAACTGTCTCCATTTCCCCGTCAATTCATTTAATCCAGTGCCCTCATCTTCTGTCTTTGCTTCAACTGTTTTAGTTTCAACAGTCTTGACTGCTTCTTGGTCAAACTAAATTCAGGTGGTTTGTCTTTCATTTCTGCCCGTATAAGGGCAGTGGGTGTCAAGTGGCAGCCAAAATCATGGTGAGTCTGGGGTTCAGTTTTACACCAAATTTAGTTTTGTCTGTGTGTGTGTGTGTGTGTGTGTGTGTGTGTGTGTGTGTGTGTGTGTTTTAATTCTCTCCCGGTTTAGTTAGGGATGTGTTAATGAGGTTTGTTCTTTTATTTCTAAACCTTGGATTTTGTGCTCCTTTTTTTCCTCCTTGAATTCATGAGCTGAAATAGGAAAATAGTTTCTTTCAAAGAAGAGGCTAGACTTTACAAAATTCTAAATATAGAATATATATTATAAAATATAATTAAGTTAAATGAAACTTCTCACTATTCTTTATTTTTTTTAAGATTTTTTTTTTTTATTGGGAAATTGGGGGAAGGGGAACAGACAAGTTGCTGTCGTTTTGTTCTTCAATCTAGTTGTGGAGGACGTTGCTTCACTGGCCCAAGTTGGCACCATCATTGCGCTCTTCCCGGGTGAGGCAGATCAGTCGCCGGCTTCTGGACGGCCGCTCACTGCGGCTGCTGGCCCCTCACGCTGGCTGCTGGCTACACACGGTAGCTCATGGCAACCCACTGCCACAGGGGCTGCAGCCTACGCCGTCGCCTGCGACTCAAGGCAGCCCAGCTCCAGGTTGAGCTGTTGTTCAGCGTCTAGCTGTAGAGGGCGGCGGTGTCACTGGCCCTCATATGTGGGATCCGAACCGGGGCCCTCTGGCATCCCAAGCCAGTTCTTAACCATCTCGCCCCTCGGCCGGCCCTCACTATTCTTTATTTTTATTAAAAACTAATTTTATGTTATATAAGAAGATTTACGAACCTCTCCTTATTAAAAAAGAAATGTTTCTTAGCCTTGCTGACTCATCATGATGAATTTCACACTTTGGTTTGCAAGGTCAAAGTTGACCAGGAAGAAGTGTCAAACCACTCAAAGCGGGTTAGTTCTATGTAATAGTGTGAGTTTTAAGATTGTTTATTTTATTTTTTTTTGCTTTTTTTGGAATACAGAACATGTGATAATAATAATAATAATAATAATAATAATAATAATAATAATAATAGTAATGATACTTAATAAACATTTGTGAAGTGATCTCATGTGCCAGGCACTGTTCTAAGCACCTTATATGTTTCACCTCACTTTATCATCACATCAGCCCTATTGGGTAGAAGCTGTTATTATCCTCACTTTATACATGAGGAGCACAGAGGTTGATACGTGGCTGGGAGATGGCAGGGCCATGGTTCAGATCCAAACGTCTGGCCGCGGAATCCCTGCTCCTGACCGCTCTGCCCTCCTGTTCATCCTCTGTGTTAGGAGCAGGCAGGAATTCAGTGGGATCCTTACATGAGGATGGAGTTTGTGCCTGGCTAGTTGGGATTATAGTATATGCTGCTATCTCATTCATATTTATGGTTGAAAATGAGAATTGAACTATTCCTAGTTTATTTTTTTATTATTACTAATCACAATTTAAAATATTTCCATTTGAATTCCAGTAATATTTTCATTTATTCATTGAACAAATATTTATCCAGCACCTACTATGTGCCTCGCTGCTATAGGCAGCGGGGGACATAGGCCTGAACATGACAAATAAGATCCTTTCCCTCATGGAGCTTACATTTCAGTGGGAAAGACAGACAACAAATACATAGGTTGCTATGAAGACAATTTAACGTGCTCTTTAAAGAGATGGCATTTGTAGGAAACAGACATTAAGTGAAGGAGTGAACTTGGGAAGATGTGGGGAGCATGTTACAAGCAGAGGGAGCAGTTGGTGCAGATGTGGGAAGTGGGAAGGGGGTGAGTGAGGGGAGCGTGTCAGAGACAGGAGGAGAGAAGTGGCCAGGACTGACACAGGGTTTTGTGGGCCGCCATGTAGGTAGGTTTACAGCAGCAGGGGGCCAACTGCTGTAAACCGCCCATTGGCTGCGGAGTGGAATGACTTGTGACCCAACAATAATCTTGGATCAATCTTGGAGAAAGTGTTGTCGCCTGTAATAACTTTCTCAGACTAGCCTAATTTATATTTCAAGGTTATTCAGTCTTTCTGTATTCTCTCCTTTGTTAATCATTTAAAGGTGGAAAATGAGACTGTGAGCCCCCTAGAGACAGAACGTAGCATTGCACTTATGATGACATTAGAGTCAAGTCTTCAAAGTAGAGCAATAGCATTGATGCTGAAGAATGGAACGTTGGTTATCCTTAATTTAAAGTCGAGGAAACAGATGTGAAATGGCACAGTGAAATGTTTCCCCAAATATAGTGTAGATTCCTTCAGCTTTGATTATTAAACATAGAACTTTTGAATTTTATTTATATTATATACTTAGCCACATGGAAGCATTCTTTTAAAAATCTGTATTGTATTTATTTGAAATATGCCAGGAGTAATTTAAAGGAAGAGGAAAGTTTAGAACTGTATTTTTATATCTATTTGTTCTTATAATTTAAACATTCTATTTTCATATTAAAGTCATTACAGATGACAATTCATATGCATTATGTATATAATATGTATTTTATTATTCCCTGAAATACCAGAAATGATTCTTACATTTAAATTCAGACCACCTAGAAATTGCAAATTCAACCAATATTCTTAAGACGTATGGTGATAAGATTTTGTCAAATAAAAAGAAATGCAGCTATCTCTTCAACTTGTATGTTTAAAGGGTACCAGTTTAGGAGTAAACCCCAAATTTATTCATGTTTGGAGAATGGAATATTCTAGTTAAAGGTGATTTTTTGGATAATGAAGATTATTACCCAAAGGGTCTTTGCATTTACAGTTTATAAAGAACTAGAAATTAGACCATTAACTTGGTGATATCATAATATCATTCAAACTGGTTCAAGTGTATGAGTGTGCTTGAGGGGCTGGTGGGCTCTAGGCTCCTCACACCAGGTTTAGCCCCTGGTCTTCTGTATGAGGCCATCAGGTAAGCTACGGCTGGAGAATAAGATGTCTAATGCATACTGCCTGCCATGTAAAAACAACTATCAGAAAATAATTCAGTTTTTCTAGATTTAGTCAGAAGGTACTTCCAAGATTTGGATTATGGACTAAAATTATCCTTTTTCTTAATCTGTATTTTTAGTTTGCTTTTTATGGATTAACTGAATAACATGTATGTTAGTTAAGTATTCTGATCATTTGCAATTTGGATGAGCAGAAGTGAACCATGAACCCTTTCTTACCAGGGGACTTATTTCAGTATAAGTTAACAATGCAGTTGCTTATTAATCAGGTCTCTCACAGTTTATAAGAGTCATGCTACCGTAACTCCTAGTAACAGTACAATGAACTCTAGTAACCGAAAGTCTTTACAACTGATGACTTCACTGGACTTGTCTAGACAGCAGTTATTCTGTAAATTCATAGCATGTTAGGGCCGGAACAGATCTAACATAGATACTGTAACTTAGATGGCCTAAATATTCCATTTGCCATGGTAGCCTGGTTTTGGGGTTTGAGGGATGGTCAGACCAATGACTTCAGCCTGGGAAGTAGGCAACTAATTAATAGGCATAAATGTGGGAAGGGCCTAACTTTGGTTTTGGATGCAAGTATAAACAGAGAAGTATTCTTCTCTGGAAACAGCAGCAAATTTGAAAGAAATCTGATGTCTGGTCTTGTTTGTCAAAATGGGAGAGACTCTGTGGAGGTTATACCTAGAGAAAGTAATTGCAGTCAAATCCGTAACCTTTGGATTGACTCTCCTTGGCAAAATCATGCTAGCTTAAAAAAATAATGCTAGCATTCTAATTTTTGCTAATGAAATCCAGATACTCGCAAACAGTTAATCGTCAGTGAGACTTGGATCAGATCTGCATGGTTCCCCAACCTTCAGCCATTTTCGTCACATCAGCAAAATATTTAGTCAAAGAGAAAAACTGATTGACTAACAAACTTTTTAACTGATTGTTTTTCTCTTCTGGCTATTGACATAAAACTGCCAGGTGTGATTCAGTGCAGAGCCGGACCTCTGTAATCCCACAGCTTTACTGGTCAGTAAGTGGCAAAGACAAAATGTACGTGCTAGTCCAGAGTTGTCCATTTGCTTTCATTGACTTAGAATTGGTCTGAGCTCCTGGGATAAAAATAGCCTTGTTTCTGAGAAAGTGTCTTGGGAAACCTTTATAAGTTTTGGGTATTTAAACAATTGCATGGGTGGAAGAGTTGCTTCGTAAATGCCCTGAGGGCAAGTATTGGCTGAGCCTCTCATTAACTTTGTGTACGTGAGAAAATGACTTATGCCTGTAAGACTTTCTTCAGAGAAAGAACACTAATGATTTCCTGATGATTTTTACTTATTAGAGTGCTTTGTATTTGGTGAAAAGTTTTCTTGTGAAGTCTACTTTATTCTGATCCTTCGATGAGGGAATAACTCTTGCCTCTCCCTCTGACTCATTTCTGCAGGAAGCTGCTCTCTGTAGACAGCTCCCCATGGAAGCTGAGACTCTGGCCACGGTTCAGGCTGCTGTCAATCCACCTACCATGACCCCTGACATGAGATCCATCACTAATAATACCTCAGATCCTTTCCTGAATGGGTAAGTTAACATTTTGGGGCCACTGATTTTTGCTTTCTTTATTTTGTGGTCTAGAATATAATGGGTCTTTGTTTATATTGGAAAAAAGTAGGGCGCTTGGAGGTTAGATTTAGGCTAGAGGGAGCAAATAGAGAGAGGTGACAGAAGAAATAAAAACAGAGGAGACAGAAGAAATAAAAACAGGCAGTCATCTACATTTTTTAATCTCAAATTCAAAAATTGGTGATATGACATGGAGTGAAGCCCTAGTCCATGATTTGTAAATGGGGATAAACTTAACAATTTCAATGGAATGGTATTGTATAGGAATTATTTGGAAGAAACTTGGGGTTTTATGTAGCCATTGGGGAATAAAAGCATGACATGTGGCAAATAGAGAACATAACAATTAAGAGATGATGTTCATGGTAAAATGTTAATAAGGTCTATAGTTTAGTTAATAGTATCATACAGTGTCAGTGTCCTGGTTTTGATCATTGGTTATGTAAGATGTGATTGGCTAAGAGGGAGAAGGATACATAGGAACTCTCTACTCCTTTTGCATCTTGTATGTGATTCTAAAATTATTTCACAATAGAATTAACTAAAACTAAGAGAAGATGTTTTAAAATAGGAAACATTTTATGGAAAAGATAATTTAATCAGGACTATCTTCATGAGTAGAAGTAGTCAACCTTAACTGTAGCCTTTTAAACCCAAGTAAAGGGCAGTATTCTATTTTCTATGCCCTTTCTGCCCTTACAGAGTTTCTGGCAAACAAATAAATACAATTATGAAAGTTATTAAAAATAGGGAGAAAGAGGGAGATGAAAACAAATAGTAGCTAAAGCAATGACAGAAAGGAGTTTTCAAATTGTCGATTTAGAAGTATTTCAAGTGTTCAGAAAAGTATAGAGAGTAGTGTAAGATTTACCCATGTACCCAAAACCCAGATTTGCCTTATTTTTACAGATCTTATTTTTAAAAAAATAGCATTACAATTAATATTTAAATTCATCCCCACCACCACTGAAATCTGTTTCTTTCCTTTCTTCCCTTCCTAGTGGTAGCCACTATTCATAAATTGGTATATGTTCATTGCACATATTTTTATGTGTCTTATTACCTGTTAATGTGTGTATCCGTAAACAATATTCAACATTGTTTTCTGTTTTTAAAAATTTACATGAATGATATCACACTCAATATGTAGAACACTGCTCAAATTGTTATTTTGAGATGAAAAGGAAATCAATCTCAATTTACTATCAATGGCTAGTTTTACTTGCCTTACAATTTATTAATTTCATTGACATTGGGATATATGTTTCAAAATTAAAAGGAAGTGCAAAGTCTGTCTCCATTACCTGGAAAATTGGGCAGAGTGACAGAACTACTCTGTATTTTAGTTTTGAAATTTCTTTAGTGGGGTCACACTGATGTTTCTTCATCGTTTGCTCTCCAGAGGGCCGTATCACTCACGGGAACAGAGCACTGACAGCGGCCTGGGGTTAGGGTGCTACAGTGTTCCGACGACTCCAGAGGACTTCCTCAGCAACGTGGATGAGATGGACACAGGTGGGGGCAAAGCTTGCGAGTACCTGTGATGTGTTTGCATTGTTAAATCATTGTTTTAGTCATCTCACTTCTGAAATCCAACCAGAAACAATCTCAACAAAAGCAACATAAAATGACTAGTGAAAAGCCATCTAACACCCCAAGCACTATTACAATAATAAAACTTAGCCCCTTCCCCATAGTTTATGCAAATATATTTGTTGTTGTTTTTTTTAAAACTTTATTGGGGAACAGAGTGTTTTTCCCAGGACCCATCAGCTCCAAGTCAAGTTGTTGTCCTTCAATCTCAGTTGTGGAGAACGCAGCTCAGCTCCAAGTCCAGTCAACATTTTCAAATGTAGTTGTGTGTGTGTGCACGGGGGGGCATAGCCCACCATCCCATGTGGGAGTCGAACCAGCAACCTTGTTGTTAAGAGCATACGCTCTAACCAACTGAGCCACCCAGCTGCCCCTATACAAATATAGTTTTCATATATGGGCACAAGATTTTAAATTCTGGTGTTTTTTTTCCCTTTTTTTGGCTTGTCCTTGCCTCATAGGGCCCTTTCCTCACACTTGCACTGACACACCCCTCTCTACTTGGCCATCCTTCCACATTGGAATGTTTATGCTGTTCTGGTTTTCAGCTGTAATGTATGGGCCACTTTTTCTATTAAGAAGTGGTACTGGTTTATAGTTTCACCTGTATGCCAATTTTTCATGTCGTTCACTGCATTTGGGAGTCAATTGGCAGTGGATATTTGGAAAGTTAAGCAACTCAGAGGACTCTACATTGTCAGTTCCAAATCTCAGCATGGTAACAGTGTCCTTCCCAAGCAATTAAAAAGAAGAGTTAGGACGACTGTAACCTAGTTCCCAGCCTGCACTGCTGTTAGGCCAGGCTTCAGCTGGCTTCCTTGGTTACCTCTCTGTTTCTCCTCTTCTCAAGTAAGGCCTCCAATTGCAAAAACTGAATTTGGTCTTATTAGCCAAATCTAGACTTCACTACCAAAGTTGAAAACTCCCAGAATATTCTAGAATTAAAAATAAATGACAGCTGAGGCATCCACTATTTGGAGTTTTTCATGCAAGTTTTTCCTCTGTTCTCACTGATAATAGAAAATTAATTGTTCTGTGATGAAAATAATTGCTTTCCTAGATGCTGTTATTCATAGTGCCTGTGTTTATTACACTCTGCTCTTGGACGACTGCTCTTCCTGCTGTGAATCTAAATTATTGGTCCGACAAGAGTCAAACTCAGCCAGCCAGGGTAGGCCGTTGGAGCAGCTGCTCCAGGGTCTCCTCGCAGGCCGTCATCTATGTGTTTACAGGATTGCACAGCATGTCTTGTGAGGAGTCACACAGGAATAGTTTGAACTGTTTGTTTTGTTACACTTTAATTTATGACTTCAGTTTTCTCCCTCCCTTCCTGCTTTCCTCCCTCTCTTTCTTAATCTCTCTCTCCTATTTTACGGTGTGAGATTTATTTTACCGTCGTTGGAGTGGCTCCTTCCTATGTTTAATAATTATTTGCTTCATCTTTTAAACATTGGGAAGCCAGTAAAGATAAAAAGCAAAGTTAAGGGCCGGCTGAGTGGCGCGATGGTTAAGAACTGGCTTGGGATGCCAGAGGGCCCCGGTTCGGATCCCACATATGAGGGCCAGTGACACCGCCCCCTACAGCTAAGATGCTGAACAACAGCTCCACCTGGAGCTGGGCTGCCGTGAGTTGCCGGCGACGGCATAGGCTGCAGCCCCTGTGGCAATGAGTTGCCATGGGCTACCGTGTGTAGCCAGCAGCCAGCGTGAGCAGCCAGCAGCCGCAGTGAGCGGCCATCCAGAAGCCGGTGACTGATGTGTCTCGCCCCAGAAGAGCACAATGATGGTGCCAATTTGGGCCAGTGAAGCAACGTCCTCCACAACTAGACTGAAGAACAAAAGGACAGCAACTTGTCTGTTCCCTTTCCCCCAATTCCCCAGCACTGTTCCCCTTCCCCCAGTTCCCCAATTAAAAAAAAAAAAAAAGCAAAGTTAAATAAAAGACTAAGGAGGTGTAAATCTAAGCTTGATATTAAAAAAAAAAAGATGAATTCTACACGGTGGCTTTTATATATAACCTCAAGGGGCTGGCCACGTGGCTCAGTTGGTTAAGAGCGCAAGCTTGGAGCAACAGGGTTGCTGTTTCAATTCCCACATGGGCCAGTGAGCTGAGCTGCCAACAGGTGGCAGGATGGCTCAGCTGGTGAGAGCACATGCTCCTAACAAGGTTGCCGGGTTCAATTTCCGCATGGGATGGTGGGCCATGCCCACCCACAACTAAGATTGACACGGCACCTTGAGCTGAATGGCCATGAGCTACCGACGGGCGGCTAGATGGCAACTGGATTTGGGAACTGAGCTAGCTGCACTCTTCACAACTAAGATTGAAAGACAACAACTTGGCTATTCCCCTCCCCCAATTCCCCAATAAAATCTCAATAAATAAATAAATAAATAAATAAATAATAAAAAGACCTCGAGTGGGTAAATTTTAAAGCCAAAATGTAGAATGAAGTGGTGTCCTGAAAAGAACATAGTCATCGCAGACAGGCAGCCTAAGTTGAATCCTTGCTTTTCCATTTGCTGGGTAGTGACTGTGGGTAAGTAATGTGACCTCTGTGAGCCTCAGATTTCCTACCTATAAAGTAGGAATAATGTGCTCACTTCGTAGAATTGTGAGGAGTCATGAGATCACAGAGCTTGGCCCAAAGGTTTCCTGTCCTCTTTCTAAAAAGGCTGACGTAAAGTACAAAAGGACTTGATAAATGTTAGGGCTGAGCGTCAGCCCACAGAGTTTAGGGTCACCTCAGTAAAGTTGCTATAGGAGGTGGGCAGAACCCCTCTCAAGGGGAGAAATGTAAGTATACAGTGACAAGATGAGGACAAGCTGAGGGTGGACAGCTCAGGTGTGGCCTGATAAGGTCTGTTAGTTTTACTGGCCACGTGCTGAATGGGGACACGCCAGCTGAGCACTCCCCTTGCAAAATGCACATGGAAAGAACAGCTGGCTTTGGTGTGAGGATGGAGTAAAGGAAACAGCAGGAGCAAAGCCTGAGAAGTGACCCATCCTTCCAGAATAGTCTGAAATAATCACACTCTTTTAAGAATTGCCTTCTTTTTTTTTAAGATTTTATTGGGGAGTTAGGGGAGGGGAACAGTGTTGGGGAATTGGGGGAGGGGAACAGCCAAGTTGTTGTCCTTCAATCTTAGTTGTGGAGGACGCAGCTAGCTCAGCTCCCAAGTCCAGTCGCCATCCAGCCACCCGTCGGCAGCTCACGGCCGCTCAGCTGAAGGTGTTGAGTTCGGTTTTAGTTGCGAGTGGGCATAGCCCACCATCCCATGTGGGAGTCAAACCTGGCAGCCTTGTTGTTAATAGCACATGCTCTATCCACTGAGCCATCCAGGAGGCAGCTCAGCTCAAGGTGCCGAGTTTACTCTTAGTTGCAGGTGGGCGTAGCCACCATCCCATGCAGGAGTCGAACTGGCAGCCTTGTTGTTAAGAGTGTGCATTCTATCCCCTGAGCCACTCAGGAAGCAGCTCAGCTCAAGGTGCTGAGTTCAGTCTTTAGTTGCAGGTGGGCATAGCCCACCATTCAAACCAGCAGCCTTGTTTTTGGGAGCACGTGCTCTCACCAGCTGAGCCATCCTGCTACCTGTTGGCAGCTCAGCTCGGGGCGCAGCATCACTGGCCTATGTGGGAATCGAACCAGCGACTCTGTTGCTCAGAGCTTGTATTCTTGGGCAAGCTCTTAACCAACTGAGCCATTCGGCCAGCCCTCTCCCACTTTTTAAGTGGATAAAACGGCAAAGACCAAAAAGATTACTATTGCATAGTTGCTCCAAAGTGAGAGATTTTAAAATTGTGAACCTAAACAAAGAACCTTAGCTAGTCTCCTCATACTTTCCATGTCTGAGGAGGAAGGATAAGAGGAATTCTGTAAAACAGAGATATTCTGTTTGGCTAAAAAGTGTATACTTGTGTTATTAGAAAGTTAAAATGGGAAATTGATAGAGATGAATAATTGTAACTAGAGATGAAGAAAAAAAAGACCCAGCATTTTAGATCAGAAAATTTTTCAGGGCAGATAATTTTTTTAAACCTCACTTCCATCTGTTAAACTCTACTGGGTAGGAAAGAGTTATTTTGGATTTTCTTTTCTATTTTGATGTCTTTCAATATCAGTAAAACTGTATTGAGTTCATGTGGTTGAACTTGATTTTGATTTAATTTTTTAAATTATTGCCTTTTGCAGTGAAAATCCTGTAAAATATTGCCAAGAATCACTGATATTTTATGAGTTTAGGAAAGTCGTTTAGCTTTGCTATCACCAAAATGAAGTCTGACTGTGTTTCTCTTATCTCTAGGAAAGATGTAATTTTTCTCCTTGGAAAATATTTAATGCATATAGTTAAAATGAATTTTCTCCAGTTTTGCTCAGAATACTGAAATTTCTTTGCATACTTTTCAGAAAGGCTACTGAACTTGTAAGACACAAAAGCTAATTTAATGGGTTTCTTAAAAATGATGCTATGGTGGAAACCATAGTTATCAATTATCCTCAATCTTTGAGGTATATTTTTTGCCTTCAGAAAATTGTTTGGGGCTGCTTGAATTAACTAGTTGTTCTAATATTGTGTAATCAACAGTGATTGGGTTCCAAGGTTTTTCTTTCTCTCAGTACATTCAACAAACATTTATTGTATTTTTGTATGTATATGAGTTTGTATGTATAAATGGTACCCATAGCCATGGGTGTATATGGCAGACACCATAGTGCTTTACTTCAATTTATGAAGAAGGTACTATACTTAAATAAAGAAGAAAAAGAACAGAAGGTACTACCAATTTGAGATGGGCAAACTGAGAGTCAGACAAGTTACGTGTGTCTAAGTTCACACAGCTAAAAAGGTCAGTCTACCGGCACAGAAGTCAGTGCATTTTTCCCTATACTGTTATTCATAAGAACATGTGTTCTTCATGTTATATCCCAGACACTTCACTTTCCTCTAGAACAGCATTTTCTCAACTGTGTTCTGTAGACTCTAGTTCTATTAGGATATAAAGTCTGCCAAAATAGGATGAGGTGATTAAATGGGCTTAGGAAATAGACTTCTAAACAAGCAAAATAAAATAAAGCAGATTTTTTACTACAAGACTTCTAAGAACCTTCATATGCTCGCTCGTGTACTGTGACTCATATGCACTGTGAGAATGGTAAATAGTTGTGGGGCGTACATGTATGGGGGGAGGGGGACAATCTGCAGAACCCACCTTATAAAAGGATTTGAAATTGACCCCTAGAGTCATCAGTGAGGACAGCCTTTTAATAACATGGTTAAAAGAAACTCCTCACCACTATCTTTGAATATAAAGAGGGAGGACATGGGTAGATAAAAGCCTACACTTAAATCCTGAGATTATCACCCTGTGATAAGCTATTTATTACAGGCAGGGCCTCTCTACTCTTTCACAGAACAGCCCTTCATGCCGCTGTCATGGGGAGGCACGGATGGTAGGTCAGGTCCACAGTGCTTTCACATGCTCTTTCCCTATCTCCCTGGACCTGTCCACCTGGACCACATCTACCCAGAGCAATAAAGATTCATCTGGCATCAGTGTATCTCTTAGGAGTGAGCAACAGTGACTCAGTGTCAGTTGTGGGAGCTGAAATTTTGCCCAGAAATGCAGTATTTTAGACTGGCAGCAATATAATCTTCTTAAATGTAGGCATAGCACAAATGAAGATGAGAGTTATGTTAACACTGGAACTGTCCTTCTTTCAAGAGCTTTAAAAAAGGAGTTAAAATGATTTCCTTTCATTCTGTTATAGGAGAAAACGCCGGACAGACACCCATGAACATCAATCCTCAGCAGACCCGTTTCCCTGATTTTCTTGACTGTCTTCCAGGAACAAATGTTGACCTAGGAACTTTGGAATCTGAAGATCTGATCCCCCTCTTCAATGATGTAGAGTCTGCTCTGAACAAAAGCGAGCCCTTCCTAACCTGGCTGTAATCAGTACCATTGTAACTTGGGTGCAGCCATGACCTGACATTTCCTGGGCCTCTTGGAAAAAGGGATGGAGCAGAGCAAGTCTGCAGGTGTACCACTTTCAGCCTCCATGACTCATCCTCCCTCCTTTCCATGTGGCCAGTTTAATCATTGCCTGGATTTGATTGACAGTACTTTAAGTTAAACATAAATAAATATCCTATTTTCATTTTATGCAAGCCTGCATTCCTGTGGTGGGTTATGCAGAATTGCTTCTCCATTTTTCTCTCTGCGCCCCACAACTAAGCTTTATGGGTGTTAGTTGAAATTTATACATCAATTGATTATAAACCATTAAAAAGCTGACCACAGGCAGTGACTTCTGACGGGCGGCTCGGTCCAGGAAATGTACACTAAATTAGACCTGATTTACAGTTTCGAAAACTGTATTGATGACAGTAGTACCAAATGCTTTAAATATTTAACCCGAGCTTTAAAAATCATTGTATGGATAGTAAAATTCTGCTGTATGGAATACAATGTAGTTCTGAATCCATGCTGATTCTGATAATTCTTATTACTCTGTATTTCCAAAGGCTCACACGGTCCTACTAGAGTTTATCCTCCATCATTTTATGGCATAGCATTTAGACAGCTAGGCCTTCTGGTGGGAGAGTAGCAGAACATTAGCCACAGTCCCTACATTCAGATCTGAAAGAGACCAGTTTGGTACTAATTCTGAGCATTTATTAAACAGAACTTTTTAAAATTGCAAGTTGGATTTTTTTAAAAATTGCAGCTTAGAATGTGATGTTATTTTATAAAGCACTATGATTTTGTGGCTGATGACAAAGGGCAGCCAAATGTTTCTGATAAATCAATGGCAACTGTATTTTTGTCTTTTGAAACTGTTCTGAAAACGTCAGGACAATATAGCTTTCAACTTGATGGCACACACAGTAAGCTGTTGCTTTTTAAATTCTGAAGCCTTGTCAGTTTTGCTTTCGAGATTTCGAGTGTTTAAAATAGTCTTATCAATGAAGCTGTTTGAAGGATGAAGCAGATCTCTGACTGATGTGTAAAAAAAAAATGCCCTCTGAGGGTGTATGGTGGAGACATGTTTCGGAACAATTCAGTAAAATTGATTCCTAAGTATGTTATTCTAACCCTGTTTGCTACAGTTGGTATAAAAAGGCATGAAATGTACTCAATACCTCTTATGTAACCAAAAATGTTTTTTTTTTTATTAGCTTTTAAAGGACTGAGAGAGAGCACCGGTTCACCTGGCATGCACTCTGCCTGCGTTGCCAATGAAGTCCTCAACTGTTTAATGTTTTCAACTGATGTTATTTATAATCTATGAACTTAATCTCTTTTTACAAAGACATTATTAATTCAGGTCTCTGGGAGGACGCTTTCAATTCCCAAGGGGGCTTATTTGTTCGGGGTCTTAAGTAAGATCCCTTTCAATCGACCAGAAGAGAGACGGGCAGAATCTATTTTATCTTGTTGGAAAGAAGGCAAGTGAAAAGGTCAGAGATGAAGTAGTGAGGTTATGGAATATAGCAGAAAGGGGACTAGTTGTTAAATGGAAATAGACAAGTTACAGTACCCCATAAGCAAGACAAGCCGGAGGTAGGAGAGGTGCCCCAAAAGAACAAAACAATGATTTCCCACTACAACTTTATACCAAAAGACTGTTGTAGATGAAAAGAAGGCTTTGGTGCACTTTATGTGGGAGGGGGAGAGGCAGGGGTGGCCTAACCCTTGCCTCACGGATGCTGAGCATGGGGCAGACAAGAACGAAACCTGCTGTTGCTTCTGACACAATGAAGTGATTTCTTTTTCCTGAAGGACCCGTGGTTTATGTTCCTCCGACTCCTCTCTCTCTAAGTGCTCTGAGGGAGATGGGGTTGATGCTTATGTTGCTACTAAATTGAAGGGAGCACTATTTCTTTTTCTCTTTTGTTAGCAATAATTGCAAAAAGAGTTGTACATTCTTTCTAAGAAAAACAAAAAACAAGGGACCTAACAAAACTGAGCAGTGTTACTGTATTTTAAAAAAATATTTTTATAGACTCATTTTCAGGTTATTAAGCGGAAAAGAAACAGATGCCCCTCTTTTTTTAAAGTAGTTAAAACATCGATGATTTATATTATCAATTTTTAGAGGTAATTTCCTAGTAAGCTTGTGGCATTAGAAAATACTAGAAGAATTATTTTTAGTGAAATTAGTCAAAACATTTATTAATGAACATAACAAATATTTTTACAGAATTAAATATGGACCCTGACTATGTGTTTACTAATACATAAATCCAGATATAATTTTTTGTGTTTGTTTTTAAGGCCATAAAGTATGGCCTTTGTTAAAGAACAGTAAAGCTAGAAATCTAAGTAAGAACAACTTTTTAAAGGCTATTTCCTATTATTGTAAGTGTTAAAACCCCTGCAGAATTATGATAAGGTGCTACTTATACTGTTTTTCTTATTATAAAACAACTGCCAGGATATCTAGTCTTTTTTAGTCCTACATCAATCAATCAATTCAACATTTCATCCAATAGTTTTGCCATAGAAAAAGCATATTAAAAATTGAAATTTAAAAATAATTTCAGAGCTCTTTCTTTCAGGGTATTTTTTTTTTCCCTGATACAACACGTTTTCTTGAAGTAAATACATTGTCAAAATCTGTTTGCAACTCTGTTCAATCTCAGTCATTTTTAGTGTTTCACCATAGTAATAGGATATGAAATGCCATCTCTTTCGCTGATTATACACAATACGAAGCACGTAAAACAGTGTGCTGTACCCAGTGTGGTAGAAAAGCTCGCTGACGAAGGTGATCTGGAGTGAGAGAACTGTTGCTAATTACCAGCTCTGTTCTCATGACATAATTAGAAAGTAACTTGAAAGTACAACTTTTATGGGGAAAAAAAAAGTTGTTAAAAAAAGAAAATTGTAGATTCATTTAATTGGGAAAATAGGTGATTGACAGAGACCGTTTCCCTAACACACTACATCATTTATGTGCTAGTACTTTAACTTTTAAAAAATTTACTTCTACATTTTGTAATATTACATATGTGTGTTTATTTTTAATTTAGAATGCTGTGCATACAGAAAGTATGCAGCCCAATCAATCAGATCAACCTCCATTTTACCTGGAGTTTGGAACTGGTTTTTACTTCTCTGATTCTGTATAAGAAAAATAAATACAATTGAATTTCCACCTGGACCCTTTGTCTTTTTATTATTTGTGTGTGTTCCTTTTACTGAGGCTTTGCATGGTATTGGAGAGAGGCTTATGTAACCCTCCTGGCAGAGAATGAAAGAAAAAAAAATTTTGTAGGCAAACATTTTTTGGCTCAAATGTTTGTTCTTCGCTATTCTAAATATCCGCAGAATTTTGGTTTCCACTTTATTTTAAGTGGAAATATATATATATATATATATATATATATATATATATATATAATATATATATATATATATATATATATATATATATATATATACTTCAAAAATCACACTGTCCTTCCAACACCCTCACAGATTTGACCGAGACATCAAAAATATAGGATTCTCAGTCTTTCCTCTATTATTAACAATGTGGTGTAGCCTCTTGTTGTCAAAACTAAAAACTCACCATTCTAAGTGTGTGCCTGTGACAGTACATTTTTGCTGTTGAATCCCTTGAGTCTCACTGTCCTGATAACTTTTTCACTGTACAGACACGTGAGAGTACTCTCAGTTGAACGGTGTTTTTAAGCGTTGAGCTAAACAACAGAAGGAAGAGATGCTGGTGGAAACATACCAGGGTCAAGTCTCTATCATTTTAAAAACCTTATTTCATCATCACTTTTAAGGTAACTTGTGTTCGTTGTTGGAAATGTTATAAATCCTAATACGTATAAAGTAAAAAGTGAAAATTCTCTATCCCGAAAACCTCATATTTGAAAAAATACGTGCGTTAAATGTTTTTCCTATACTATAAGTTGGATTTTTTAACAAAAGGAAAGCAATTATACATGCTGTTTGGAAGCTTTCATTTTTGTATCTTAACAATAACAATGATATTTCAAATACATATTGAATATTTACTATGTGCCAGGCACATGCAGAACACTTGATATATATTCTCTAATTTCATCTGCATAGCGACCTTATTACTTGAATGATATTATCCTCGGATAATACAGATGAAGAAATTAAGGTTTGGAGAGGCTAAGTAACTTGTATAAGGTCTCTCAGTGGGCAACAGACATATCCAATATTTCATGGTCATAGTTCCACACCAGTACGTAAAGTTGTATACTTCATCATTTTAAACAAATAATATTCTTTTGTATGGATGTCCTTTACTGGTAGCCAGTTGGTAGTTTTTAATTTTTGCCTTAACAAATAGTGCTGTAGGAAACAGCTTGTTTTGGTGTGAATATGGCTAGAGGACAAATTCCTAGGAAAGAAATCACTAAGTCAAAACGTATGTGATCTTAAATGTTAATAGATTCTGCCAAGTAGTTTTCAAAAAAAGGGCATACCAATTTATACTTCCAGCCTTCCAACAACAGTGTATACAAAGACTTATTTCACCATTGCCAACCTAGAGCTGGATAGTGCCTATTTTTTTTTTTTTGAGATTGAGAAGTTTTACTACAAATATGCAATTTTAAAGAAAATAGTCAAATTTGATTTGTGTAAACATTTACTTTTATTTTTGTAAAGGTTTTATTGGGGAATTGGGGAAGGGAACATTGTGTTTTTCCAGGACCCATCATCTCCAAGTCAAGTTGTGGTCCTTCAATCTTAGTTGTGGAGGGCACAGCTCTCCAAGTCCAGTAGTCATTTTCAATCTAGTTGCTAGGGACATAGTCCACCATCCCATGTGGGAGTCAACCTTGTTGTTAAGAGCACACACTCTAACCACTGAGCCACCCGGCTGCCCTTAGGCAGCTCACGGGCCGCTCAACTCAAGGTGTGAGCAATCTCAGTTGCGGGTGGGGAGGGGAGGACCCTCGCAGCCCAGCATCCCATTCGGGAGTCAAAGGGCAACCTGGTTGTTAGGAGCATGTGCTCTCAACCAGCTGAGCTATCCTGCCACCTGTTGGCAGCTCAGGGGCAGCTCAGCTCAGGCGCAGCTCACTGGCCCATGTGGGAATTCAACTGGCAACCCTGTTGCTCGGAGCTCACGCTCTAACCAACTGAGCCACCCAGCCAACCTAGCATTTTTTTTGTTTTGTTTTGTTTTGTTTTCCAGCTTATACATTCTACAAAATATTTGGGAAGATATGTGGAATATATAAGTAAAGTTCAAAAATTGAATGAAAAATATACTTGGGGGTGTCAAAAAATGTATATACATGACTTGTATACATCTTTTGTTATCAGTATCTATTGAGTATTACAATTTTAATACAGTTTTTTCCTTTCTTAAAATGTGTATATATATTTTTTCTATTCTAGCAATAATATACAATACAAAAGAGTTTTGTTGAGTTTTTTCTAGTTTTATTGAGATACTGACATATAACATTGTATTAGTTTAAGGTGTACAATGTAGTGGTTTTATGTGTATTTTTTACAAAATGATTACCATAATGCAGTTAGTTAACACATACATCACTCACATACTTGCAATTTTCTTTTTTTTTTTTTTTTTGGTGAGAATGTTAGTCTAACTCTTAAATCTTTGTAAATATGATTTGTAAAAAATATCTTACTGTTATAGTTTGCATTTCTTGAATTAATGTAATTGAATGATCTTTCATAATACTATTGTCTACAGTGCATGATGTCCGTTCTCCACACAGCTCACCTTTGATTCCTTTTTATTGTTTTTGTGCCCACACCTCCCACCTTGGTGTATTTTTGTTTCCAACAGCTAACACCTGTGGCTCTTTTTAAAAGAGAGCCAGAGTCACTGCCTACACACACTCAGAGAGCTAGACATGCCTAGGAATTTACATCCTACAATATGACCTCTAGTTAATGTCAGGTAGGCGTGTAACAATCCAGAGTCCCTGGGATCAGGCAGACAACACCTTCTGTGGGACTTTGCCAAAGAGCACATCCTTGCTTTTATTCCTCCCCTTTCCTGTCTTGCGTCACCCACTCTTTTACCAATTTTTCCTGTAAATACCCATTCCTTTGATAAATAATAATTAATGCTTCTTTAAAAATCACTTGTACATGAGTCGTTGTGTCAGTATCTGCTTCTGGGAACCAGACCAAAGATAGTATTCAGAATACACAACAAACTAAGGTAAATCAATAAAAACAAACATTCCAATAGAAATATGAGCCAAGTGTATGAATTGAAAATTTATAGGACAGGAAACTGGGTGGCAAATAGTATTGCCAACTTCATTACTAATCAAATGGCAATCAGACAGTTTTACCTCTATCAAACCACCATAAAAAAGACTAACACCTTGAGCTGTGTGGCCACGACCTGCCGATGGGTGGCCAGGATGGTGACTGGACTTGGAGCTGAGCTAGCTGTGCCCCCCACAACTAAGATTGAAGGAAAACAACTTGGCTGTTCCCCTTCTCCAATTTCCCAACACTGTTCCCTTTCTCCAAGTCCCCAATAAAAAAAATCTTTAAAAAAAAACAAAAAAAGAAGTAATTATGGGCCAGCCGAGTGGCTCATTGGTTGAGTTGGCTGGGGACCGCGAGTTCTGAGCAGCAGGACCACCGGTTCAGATCCCACATGGGCCAGTGATGCTGTGCCCTCTACAGCTAAGATGGTGAACAACAGCTCAACCTGGAGTTGGGCTGCCGTGAGTCACCAGCGACGGCATAGGCTACACTGGGGCTGCTGTGGGCTGCCGTAAGCTACCGTGAGTGCCGGCAGCCAGTGTGAGCGGCCGTGAGACACTGTGAACTGCCGTCTAGTGGCTGGTGACCGATCTGCCTCAGCTGGCAAGAGCGCAATGATCATAATACCAACATGGGCCAGTGAAGCGACATCCTCCACAACTAGACTGAAGAACAAAAGCACAGCAACTTGTCTGTTCCCCTTCCCCAATTCCCCAGCACTGTTCCCTACCCTATTCCCCAATAAATTCTTTAAAAAAAAAAAGAAGTAATTATAAGAATGAAGTCAGGGAATTACTAACATTTTCTGAAATACGGTAACCTCTCACCAAATTTTTTTGGGTAGCCAGCTGTATTTCCAATAGTAGGAGAGAGTTTTGTGGGTCTGAGACCTTTGGCCCTAAGCCAGATTTGGTTTCTGCCAAGGATGCCAAAGAATGTAAGACTCTTAGGATCTTCTTTGATAACCCCCAACATCCTCAGAATCACTAATATTAACAACCAGCAAATATACATTGAGCCCATTCATTCATTCATTCATCACTGTACTTGCCGAGCTCCTGCAATGTTAAAAGCATGAGCAAAGGTATTAAAGGTATTAGAAATCCCTCAATCCTTTTTGAGCTTGCAGTTTAACCCGGGCCGTGTATCATGGGACAAAGAGTAATGGGACCTCAGACCAGGGAAAGAAGGGGAGGAGCGAACAGCTTCAAGCAGCCCACGGTGTCCAAGCCCTAGTTTCAAGGAGTTTCCCGGCCATTTCAGGTAAAGGAAACAACATATGTGAATGCGCAAGATTTTGAAAGAAGAGTAGTAAGAAGGTTCATGGCCCTGGAGGGACAGAGTGTGGGGACAATGAGGCAGGAGGTGAGGCCCAATAAAGTAGATGGGGAAGGGGCTCATATGCTTTGTTCCAGAGTTGGAGTTTATCCTACATGACAGAAGTCACAGGAAGCTTTCTAATAGGAGAGTGATTTAAGGAAAACAGACACAAAAGTGAACATGAACCAGATTGGAGGGAGGCTGGTGGCCTTCTCTGAGTACATGGGCCTATTTGGTGCTATGAGGGCAGGAAGGAATTGAAAAAATGGCCTCTGCCTCCAAAAAGGTAATACGCCATTATGTGTTTAGCACTAAGGGGATGCTTATATCGTTTTAGAGAGAAGGAGATCATTTGAGGCTGGCCGGTGAAGTAAGCTGAGAGGAGCAGGTAGAACATACTGGAAATAGGGAACTGTTAAACACAGGCATGGAAATGAAAATGGAAGGGAAACAATATATAATGACAACCTACTGGGTTACAGGAATGAGAAATGGAGTAAATTCATTAATGGAGTAAATTCATTTGTGGGATTCGCAGAGATTAAGTCACTAGCCCCTTGCATTCTAGAAAGAGAATCCATTTATGGAACAGCA